AAAAACCAACTGAATTCCAGGAATCATAGATATCCCAGTAGAGAGTTTTTTTTTTTAAGGTATAAAACCTATAGGAGAGTAAAAACTTGAGAGGAGACAACAATAACAAAATTTCAACAGCTGAAAAGTAGCAGAGCTGAATCTTAAATTGGCAGTGGAGAAAGCCAAGGCTAATCCAGTTTATACCACAGAATTCCCAAAAGACCCTGGGGGCATTACTGGAAGTAGGTAACAATGGCAGGGCTAAAATAAAAGAGGATCTGTTTAACTTCTTTTAAGAAATAGCTAGATTCCCCAGACCAGGCACCTACTCTGAAAAGCTGTGTGACTACACCTCTCCCATCCTGGCAAAAGATACGTATCCCAAGTTACGTTCTCTGGAAAGTATAAAATATAAGTCTCCGGGTGAGAGACTCAGCACAACTTGTGGGGGAGGGGGAACTATAATGAACACGGGGATTGGGTAAACACACGCACACTGAGATAGTCACCCCAACCCTTTGCCACCACGTGGTTTCCAGAAAGATGGCAGCCACACCCAGACCCTCCCGGCAGGTGACTGGAAGCTCTCTGGTTGATTTGAACAGCCAAAGAGAAACCGACACTGGTGGTCCCACAAGGGAAGAGCCATTAACAGCACCTCAAGTAAAGCCAGTGCCAACAAGCCCCATCAATGTGTATCAGGCTCAAATTAACTTTGTCCTCCCTCCCCACTCTTGAATATAACAGACAAAGAAGGATGACTTGACATTGGAGGAAAGATTCTAAAATGAAAGATAAGAGTCCAAAACAAACAACAGGAATACAATCAGCAGAATTCAAATTGTTGGAAACTCTATATGACAAATGGCCTGGTTTCTTCAACAAATAAAATGCATGGAAAAAAAGGAGAGAGAAATGGGGGAAACTATAGATTGAAAGAGACTTAAAACACACATCAACCAATTGTGCTATATGGACTGGACCCTATTTGAGTATTGATTTGAACAATCCAAGTGGTTTCTTAAAAATGAGATAACCAGAGCAATTTAAATATTGGTTGGATGTTTGGTGATACTAAGAAACTGTTGTTAATTTTTTAGATATGACATATTATAGTTGTTTTAACAGTCCTTATATTTTAGAGAAAAATGTTGAAATATTTATGGATGAAATTATATGATAGCTGAGATTTGCTTCAAGACTGTCTGGGTAAGGGGACTGACTAAACAAGCGTGGCTATGGGATGAAGAAAACATGAAAATCTTTTATAATATTATCTTTACTGTATGTTTGAAATTTTCAATAACAAAGAAAACTATGGCCCTAACCGGTTTGGCTCAGTGGATAGAGCATTGGCCTTCGGACTGAAGGGTCCCAGGTTCGATTCCGGTCAAGGGCATGTACCTTGGTTGAGGGCATATCCCCAGTGGGGAGTGTGCAGGAGGCAGCTGATCGGTGTTTCTCTCTCATCGATGTTTCTAACTCTCTATCTCTCTCCCTTCCTCTCTGTAAAAAGTCAATAAAATATATTTTTAAAAAAAAGAAAAAAAGAAAAAGAAAACTATCATTAGAATCCTTAGAGAAGACAATAAAATCATAAAACAGAAAAAAATAATATAAAAAGAAACATTCAAAGAATTTTTAAAAGCTCCTGTAAATAAATAATAAAAGAAATAAAACATTTAGTAAAGAGTTAAAGAAAAAAAATTGAGGACATATCCCAGAAAGTACAGTGAAAAATTATAGAAATGAAAATAAAGAAAAGAATAAAAATTAGAGGACTAGTTCTCTAATGTTTAAAATCTTGGTAACAGTTCCAGAAAGAGTGAAAAGAGAAAGAGGAAGAAGGAATTCATCAACACAATAATGTAGGAAAATGTCCCAAAACTGAAGACCATGAATTTCTAAAAGAATGGATCCCAGCCAGGTGTGTCTCAGTGGGGTTGAATGTGCCTATGAACCAGGAGGTCATGGTTCGATTCTTAGTCAGGGAACATGCCCGAGTTGCATGCTAGATCCTCAGTGGGGGACGTGTGGGAGGCAGCCAATCGATGATTCTCGGTCATCATTGATGTTTCTTTCTCTCTCTGCCTCTCCCTCTCTGAAATCAATACAAAATCCAAAAGGGTAATATGCAAAGTGACCCTAACATCAGAACCACTGGGAATGACTGGTCACTATGACACACACTGACCACCAGGGGGCAGACGCTTAATTCAGGAGCTGCCCCCTGGTGGTCAGTGTGCTCCCACAGGGGGAGCTCTGCTCAGCCACAAGCCAGGCTGCCAGCTGCCAGCACAGAGGTGGTGGCAGGAGCCTCTCCCGCCTCCTCAGCAGCGCTAAGGATGTCCGACTGCAGCTTAGGCCTGCTCCCCGCTGGCAAGTGGACAATCCCCGAGGGCTCCCGGGCTGCCAGAGGGATGTCTGACTGCTAGCTTAGGCCCGCTCCCTGGGGGATCGGGCCTAAGCCAGCAGGTGGACATCCCCCGAGGGGTCCCAGACTGTG